ATATATATATATATATATATATATATATATATATATATATATATATATGATTAGGTTCTCTGCATGTATATATAAACTGTTCAGTAGTCACTTTGTTTTCAAACTTCATGCATGTAGTATTTTCTTCAGATGGAATTCTACTCTTAATGTTAGCTTGAAATTTTTTTCCCCCCCCATGTTAAGAGACTGAAACACATTGCTTGATTGATTTGGCTTCATTTTAGAGGGGGGTTTTACCAAGCACTTCCTCTTTCTTTTATTACCTTTCTGTAGTATAGGGAATTAGCCCTAGGAAGACGTCTAGCAGTAAATCATTAACTGATTCACAATGTTTCAGTAGTGCATATTTGAACATACCAGTAACTCAGCAGCTTTTGTGTTTACAAATTTGATCATTCAGTCTTTTTCTGAGTAATAGTTCCATCCCACTTTTTTACAGAAGTAAAAAGCCTTCTGTCATAGTCAGATTCTGAATTTGTCTGTAGCTGGTTTTGTGGTAGAAATCATTACAAGATGAAGACATGCTTTTTTTCAATCAGAAGACCAATTCTCAGTTTTACTAATGTTCCATAAATCTTTATGCTTTGGTGTACTTTTGTCACAAGAGGCTCTTGGACTTCCCAATAGCTCTCATAATTGAGCAGTACCTTTAATATCAGTGGGCCAAAGGACAGATTGAAGTTAATGGTTATGCTGCTAGATTGAGATAAGGCATCCTGTTCTACCACTTTCTAGATTACACGTTAAGGAACATGTAATCACATAAAATTACCGAGTTCACCAAAGTATTCAATTCCTTGGATATAATCAGCTAGGAAGGAACTTGTTCTCTCTGAATGCAAATTAACATATATTTAATGAGGAATCAAAAATACAACTTGAAGGAATGGGTTAAATTTCTAAATAAACTAGAAACTCTTCAGACTGCATCATTTTGTTGCCTTCTTTTTAGCATGCACAACAAGATCGAGCTCTGACCCAAACAGACAGAAAAATAGACACAGAAGTTGCAGATCTGAAAACAATGCTTGAATCGCACAAACTTGATAATATTAAATACTTAGCAGGTAAGGAATGTGATGGTTGTCTCTGGTCAAACTGTTAAAAGATTGTTAAATGTTTGATAAACTCTCATTTGCCTGTATTCATAAAAAAAAAAAAAAAAAAAAAAAAAAAAAAAAAAAAAAAAGTAATACTTGAAATAGTCTCAGTCAAGATTAGCAGCCTTATTTGTGTACTTAACCCAGACAAAATTTCCTGTGACTTGCAACTTTATTTAGCATGGGTTATGGCGGTATGACTTTTTTCCCCTCTGTTTTATACTGTAGTAAGTAGGAGAAATCTAAAAGACTGCATTTTAACAAGGGCCAAAAATTTCTTTTCTAAGTGCCTGACTTAATTTATAAAAGCAGCCTGCTGCATACATTTTTGGTATTTCTTCATCTGTCTCATGGAGATCTATATGCCAAATGGAACATTTCAGCTTTTCTGACTGTTCAGCATTACATGTTCTTTAATAAACCTTTCTTTTTCAGGCATGTGCATTTAGAAAAATACTATGTGTGTGTGCCTACATTATTGCCCTAAGTAACTTTAATATTTTGACATTTTGCTACTGAGTGTTCAGTGCTGTTAAATGTGAGCAGGTTTGCAATAGACAATTATTCTGATTTAGATTTTCTGATTATTCTTTCACAATGGGTTTTGTCACATACAGTTACGTCTATTCATAGTACTGTACTTCAGACATATCCTTTAGAGAGAACCATTACTTGAAAATAAAAGGCACTTTACTAAAATGAGAGGAAATTCTTTTCCCCATCACCCCTACTCAAAAACATGTTGAACTCTGCATGGGGAAAAAAAAAAAAATTGCATTGTGTTTGCTGTGCTTCTGGTGCAAACAATGGTAAAATCTTCTGTGTGTATATTTAAAAATCAAAATTTGATTTCATTTTAAATAGAAATTTTTAAAATTGCAAACTGATACGCCTCATTAAAGATAGCTTTCATTTGTTTGATTGCTGAATACTTGACTGTGATTTAATAATCCTGTTATTCATTTCCTCACTTCACAACTGTAACTTGCCATACTGATCTTTTTTGGAATGGTAAACAACTAAGGGTTTGTTTCAGCCTTTTGATAGTTTTCCAGCCCAGTTTTTCTGCATTCTTTTTCTCCTTCCTTATTTGTCACTTTATTGCCACTCCACCTTGAAATTGTAAATCAAAAACCTTATTTTCTTACATGGGGAAGGGGTGGTGGCTACACTTATAGTACTGTAGTAAGATGTGTACATAGCTTACTGAAGAAATGTTCTGAGAGCTAATGATTAAATGTCTCCATTTTCCTCCCCATTTTTATTTTCTTTCAGGTTCAGTATTTACATGCCTTACTGTAGCACTGGGATTTTATCGTTTATGGATATAATCAAAACATCAATTTAAAGGGACTTCTACTGTCTTGGTTTCTAAAAAAAAAGTTTTATCTTTGCCTGGACTTTAACCAAGTCTTGACTGGTTTATTTATTATTTTTTTTGTAAAGCAGACTGTATTGAGAATGTAACCAAAGGTGTGCCTAGAAACAAACTGTACACATATTGTGTGTATTTTGAAACTTACCTCTGATGAAAGTGTGGTATGTGCGTTTCTGTTGTTTCCTTCCATTCTGAACTGCCCTACACCTTGCTGCTACGAAGTGTCATACAAGCAAAGACTGGCATTTATAACAGTCTTATGGGACTGCGTGCCCTAGAGAAGAATCTATGGAATTTTGTTCCGTTGCCTACTCAGACACACTTGCTGGAGTCAGTTGCATGTATCAGACTGAAGTCGGCTATTAAGGTAAAACTGAAACTACACGTTTCGTGGCTTGGAGGCACTCTTGTATAGGTAGAACTTGTGTTGACTGAATGCTTACTTCGCTCCTTCTAACACTTGTTCATATAGTTACTGTCATCAAATGTTTGTTTTTCTATTTTTATAACATTATAGTTACCAGCTCATTTTGCAGATGGCTGTTCAATCACTTATGTTTCATGAAAGAGTACTATGTAATGATAGCAGTGTTTGCTGCTAGTTTTGTTTGTAATGTATTTGTAGAGGTTTTTGTGACTAACTTGCCTTTGGTACATACAAGTATTTGATCCTCTCCATATGCTAATTGTTAACTTTACCACTGTAACTGGAAGTTTGAAATGCAGTAAAATACACTAGTTGTGTTTATAGTGATATGAAGTGTCTCTGGTGCTGCCTTCTTGATGGAAGGGAGTTGATGCTTCTAAAAAGGAAAGAGATTTTAAATTGTGGTTATAAAGCAGGGTCTTAGGAAAGAGAATTACATACCAACAGTCTTCTGGGTTTTTTGTTGTTAAAATAACCCAAAACCTGTTGGCTCTTCATATGTGGAACTTTGATAGCGATTATAATAGTGAAAGCAGTAATGGAGACCTGCAAGGATGTTCAATCCAGTTCTGAGCAAGCCCATGTGAACCAGTAAATACAACTGAAAGCAGTGAATAAAGGCATACAGTGCATCCAAGATATCTTCATTCTTCCACTGATGAAATGACTGCTTTAGTAGCAGAGCTGCCATCTGTGTTCCTCCAGTTAAGGGAAATTTCCTGCTCTTGCTTGCTCTTAGGAGGACAGAACAATCTATGCACTGGTAATAAGTGCTGTTAGAGCACAATCACAGCTTTGCTTAATGAAAGTAAAGCTGTTTGGCAACTATGTGCCTGTATTGTAATAAACATTTAAATATTTTTGGTGGTTGGGAGGGCCAACTTTGATCATGTGCAAATGCAGAGCAAGAGATGAATGCCTGTAATGATATTTTACTGGCCTGAAATAAAGAATTTTGAATATTTCATAGAATATGCTGAGTTTTTATTATAAATGGAAGTTTTAAATTTGAATTTAATCTTTGTTTAAATGTAAGTCACTGCTACTAGGACTTGTTTTAAGCTAAAAATTAATGAAGTCAGCAGCAACTCTAACACTGAAGAGGAAAGAACAGTCAATAATGTAAGGAAAACTATTATTGCAGGACAGATGATTCTATATATGTCTATGTAATCAGTACATCTTTACTTGTATGCCTGAGCATCTGAAAAATAGTTGCTAAAATAACTATTTAGAACTAATTTTAAACATAAGGTCTATCCTGCTAAAAATGGATACTATGCAAATAAATTTTTTCTCAGGGTAGGTAGGGAGAGGTGAAAAGATTATAGAGCAGCATTGTCCTGGAATTAGCACAGTGTCAGGCAAACCAGCACCTCTTGAGTGTTCTAAACAAGGAGTAAAGTTAATACGTCATTCAGGAAAACGACACTATAAATAGAATATAGTTGTTATTTCCTATCCCATGAAGTCTTCAAGTGTGGTATAATAGCTTGTTATTCCTATTCTGTGTGCATAGATGCATAATCTGATTTCCTCTGATTTTAAAGATCAGACTAGAAATCTTTCTAACAGCTTCATTATGCGTACTACGTGTATTAATGGGCATTCCAAAAGGGTAGAAAATCCTTCCATATATTTCCAAACACAGATTCTTTGAAAGAGAGATTTTAAACTCAAGGAATTAGCCTTTTGGTACAGGTGAGAAGCAAATACATCAGGATATACTACTAAATATCTCTTGAAAAGCAAGTGTCAATCACTAAATTCATAAACAGGAGACCTAAGTTGGCAGTTCTCCAATTTTTTTTTTCTGTAAAACACACTGTATATTGATATTGACTCAAATTAGAGGCAATTCTAAATGTACAGAAATACTTTTGAGTTCTCTGACTTCATATTTTGCTTTTAATTTGCAGAGCTCTTCCAAAAGATGCAAGTGAAAAATAAATGGGACTGTTTCACTATAAAACCACTTCAGCTGTGAAAATCTGCAGTAGCTCCCCTTTGATTCAGAAATGCATCTGTTCATTTCCTGCCTGGCAGGAAAAAAAGTATAAGAAGAAAATTAATGTAGAAATGTTAGATCTCTCAGGCTCTCTCTTTAAATTAGTTTGCAGGAATAGAGGATGCAGCTAAAGCTGAGCTCCAGTTCTGATTTGCTTTCAGGAGCCGCCCATGTCTATTGAGAGCATGCAAGAGTAGCTGTCTGCCTATGCTAAAACTAGTTGTGCACTTACCCTGTGAACTTCCATGTTCACACAGCAAAGATGGGAATCTGTTTCCTTTTGGGGAAGATTGAGAATCATTTCATTTGCTGGAAAACCTGAGTTGCTCCAAAAGTTTCTTTGGGTTTTGCAGAATAAATAGAGATGCAGAGCTCTTACAAAACTATTTACTTGTAAAATGTTAGTGGGAGCATACTGAATTTAACTGCTTGTCTATCTTGCTTTCCCTTTTGTCTTCAGTAAAATCCATGAGGGAGCTGTCTCCTTCTCACTGGTATGTATTAGCTAAATTGTTTGTGTTGAGTATTTTATTACTGGTAAATCACATGCTGTCTGGCCCTTTTTCTATTGGAAGTGTTGATCACATCATTCATTTCCCAGAATGTTGTTGAGTTGTACTTAAAACTATGAGTTGACCAATGGAAACATTTTTAATGTAGGTATAAAATCTGCTTTAGTTTTTCTAACCACAAATGTTTTGATTTACTAAAATAAGCCTCATTCTAGTTGTGAATATTCACTTAACTGACCTTTTCATAAATGGTGAAATCCTAGCTCTGTGCAGCTATTAACTTTGAGTTGCTATTGACTTTGGAGAATGCATGCTTTTAACTTCTAGATATTAAGTCATACCATTTCACTGGACTTTTCTCTTACTACGCTTGCTATCATCTGTAGACTTTGCACTGGAAAACCAGTGAGGTTTTTTTGTGTGTCTTTTAATCAGCAAAGTTAGCTAAATTACTGTGGCTAATTCCTTTGAAATATGGTTGCAAGGTGTGAGCAAGACTTTGTTTTGTATCTCCCACTGAGTTTTCAGGATTTAAGTAAACTGCCTTTACTGATTTCTAAAATGATAAAAACTCTTCAAGACAATTCAATATTTAACAAAACTGCCATGTAAAATCTCTTTTCAAGGAATAAGTATACAGTAAAATGATTGGTTTTTTTAATGTTTTAATGTATCTGGAGAAGTTGTTTTCAGAAATGACTAGTTTGACAATGGTGTTTTTAAGTATTTTTCCTTTCATCTTACGTACCTTGAATTTATAAGGCTTTTTGTGGGGTGGGTTGTGTTTTTTTGGTTTTGTGGGGGTTTTTTTGTTTGGTGGTGGTGTTTTGGTTTTGTTTTTTGTTGTTGGGTTTTTTTTTTTTTAGAGTAAAGCTTCCTGGTTAAGCAATATATTTTCTTTAGCCCCTAAATAGTGCATTTACAATCAAGTACTTGCCTGGAATATTGGGGTTTGCTTTAATCAGAAACAAATGCATATGCTCTTGGAAATAGAGGGCCTGCTGTGTCTTTGTTAGGAAAGCTTCCTTTGTCTTAATACAATTTTTTTTTTATACCCTGTTGCCAAACATTTTATAGTAGTAGTGTTGATTATTTATTTTACACATGAATTCTACATCAGAGCAATTGCCTCTTATCCTTAACATGCAGTTTTTTAATTAGACAAAGATCATGGAAGATAGCAGTATTTGCATAGTGTTCCTTTTGAAATAGCTCTATTCTGAGAAAGAAGATTCCTGTTTTCTTGGGAGGATGCCTAGCTAGTATCAACAAAATACTGGAAATGAATAACAAAGTATTGCGGCAAATAACTATCTTGGGCCAATGTTTATCCCCATAGTCAATGTGTTGTAATATTTCAAATACCCTACCTCCCTTTGCTGTTCTGACATGCACCCTATCAAACTCCTTAAAAGTTCATTAGGTTCCCCATTGTATTCTAAAATTATATCAGCTTGGTTCGAGTCATGACTAATACTACTCGTGAAAGTCTCTTCTAGTTGAGTGAGGGGGAAAAAAAAGATGGTGTGTTGAGGGGGATTTTTGTGTGGTTTTGTTTTTCCTGTGGGTAAGTGGCACACATTTTGTAAGAACTTTAAACAGAACTGTATGGTATGTGAATATAATAATGGCATGCTTCTAGTGGGCAATTGAATTTGATCAAATCAAGCTTGTATACAGGACTCAAGGGTTTGCTTCAGAACTGATAAAGTGAGTAATAGTTACCTTCGTAAGGGGTGGGAAGGGAAGTGGGGCAGATTTTTCATCATGAAGGGAAAACTGATAGTTTATACTGTGTATACTTAACTCTCCAGCATGTTTTGGTCTTTCTCCATTGTTAGGAATCTTGTAGTCCTTTTATGTAGGACTGTCAGCAATGCATGTTACTCCATGAATAGGCAGCTATTAAATACATTACTTTTGACTCATTTTTGTCCAGAATAATTTGTGTCACTCCAAATCATTCTCCTGTCTTTACCCAGGATCTGTTTTCTTCTGGCAAGGGTGTACTAAACATTATATATTCACAAAGTTCTCCGAGCGATGCAAGAAATTAATAAATACAAAGGCCACTTCAGAAGCTCCCTTTAAAGACTACTTGGCACAACTAGATCCAGATAGTGGCTGGAGATTTTGATAATGTTTTATAACAGTGCTTTCAAAGAAGTCAATTCTAATGCCTCGTGATTTACATGCAGAGTTCCCTTGTGTTCCCTAGACGCCAGCTAGGCCAAGGCACCAACCACCTTCCTGTCTGAGCTACTGAACCTTCCTTCACTGAACTTTTAAGACAAAATAAAGCTACAGGCATGAACCTATACTAAAAAAATTAACCACCGATGATGCACAGATGAGACAGGATGTCTAGTGTGGATGCTGCATGGGGGTTCTACATTTTCAGTCAATGTTTTTCTTTGATGTAGTTAGTTACCGTGTCTCGTGTTAGTAACATTGCAGTACCATTCAGAAGTACTGGAGTCTGGGAAGCTTTTAAGAAGTTGAGATTCAATGAAAGTTGAGGGGAGGAAAAAGTTCAAAATAAGGTTCACACTTCCCAAAGTCCATGAGAAAATTCTTGAAGAGATCTTAGCATTTTTGTTTCCTCTAAAAAGGAGCCTTGTTTAAGACTTAAGCTTTTTTTTAGAAGCTTCCGAGTTTTTTGGGTTTTTTTTATTCTCTTAGCTACCTTCCAGTCTGTGCATTGCAGTGTGCTCCTCTGTGTGAATTGTTTTGTTTTAATAATTTGATTTGAGGATACCTGTGACCACAGATCTCAAAAAAGCTATGCTAAGATATTAGTGTCTCTTTGCTATTCAGTAGAAATGCATCTAAGACTTCAGAAAATTTAACAGCATATTTTCCGCTAAGCTGTTAAGCAGTTAACTTGTCTTGTTTGAAACAGGGTCCCAGTTTGCCCTAAGGTACTTGTCAGGACCGTGCCAAGTTATAAAT